TTTTAAATATATTTTTATTTCATTTCTCAATTTTTTTTGTTTGAAATAAAGAATTGAATTGAAAGCAATGTGCATTGGACTTTAGGCACATGGGCTCAGTGAGTGGACGCAACTCTGGTATCAACATGGCAACTCCAAAATGGTGTCACAGAACATTTACACAATTTAATATTAACATATATTCTTTTTTTTTCTTTCCACCAATTCAGCAATAATAGCATTTAAATGCTCGTTAAGTTAATATTGTACTGTCACAGTCTTTGAAGCTGCTTCCACAAAAACTTTATTCAAAATCCTTTTCATAGCTACACACAGTGGACAAGATTATTTTACAATTTCTGCATAACAGAACCTAAGATTCACTCTCTATGTGTAGTTTACACCCATTTCTCTGTTCAACTTCTCTGAAGCACTGAAACAGCTCATCTCCGCACTTCTTTTCTTACGTTTACATTTTTTTTCCTAAGAATTGGAGAAAAAGCGTTTGAAGAATACTCATCAGACCAGCTTCCCCGAAAGTCTGCAGTCGTGAACTGCTTCAGCTTTGCGTCATGATCTTCTACCTCGAAATGAACTCCTCACTCAGCTCAGTGTGGGAGAGGAAGCAAAAGTAAGAGAGAAACCCGGAGCTTAAAGTCTGATGCGATTGTGGTCAAATTGGGGAAGTATAATTTAGAACTAGTGTCTGCCAACGTAACAAAGCCGTGCATATTCTGATGCAGGCGAGATGGTTTATGGCTCCACTGTGACATCAAAATGACCTCACAACCTTGTTTGGTAAAATGAAATGATGTCCCAGAAGACCTCTAGTTGCACAACGTGGTGAATGATGATGTTGTCCATCACAGAGACCTTGTGACACACTTGAGGGTTTTTGCAGTTTTCATGCATCGCTTACCACAGCGACACTTCAGAGGATTGCTGAAGATTTTGTTGAGACAGCTTCACTTCTTTTTGTGGTTTTCATTAAAATAAGCAACGTATCTTAATAGAATGTTACTTGTCGTTTGCTCTTAATGCATTTAATAAATTAATTAATTTCAAATACTATTACAATCCCATTTAATATCATATCCATCGTGGCAATAATTACTGATATTTATGAAAAATGAATACGTATTCTTAATGATTTTACTAAGTTACCGATCTTGTGTGTCAAATCTGCAAAATTTAGGATTAAATTCTGAGTAATCTTCTATCTGTGAGTGTAAGTTTCAGACATTAAACCAGCCAAAGTGAAGGAAACGTGATTTAGGAGGTTTTTAGTGAAGAGTTATGAGATTTCCACTGATAACTGGCCATCAGGTCTACATCAGCTAATCTTTATAATCTGGCATCCCAGCAACTTATTGATCAATTAGTGCTTTATGGAGGGCAATATATTGATTAGCAACACAGATTAAATAAAGCTATCCATAATCTGTAAAGCATGAATACCAACAAATCAAACGGATGATGAAATATCCAGTAACAAAGGTCTCTACTTAGTCACTTTATCTATACAAGAACAAAACTGCTGTTAAGAAACTGATGCATAAAATCAACTATTGTTTTATTCCTTATTTTTTTACATGGGAACTCTGAGAATGTCATGTCATGGACCTCAACAACTTTTGTCCACTTAGTTTAAAAATTAAAAATTACATTATTGGAATAAGATGACTTTTGCCAGTGTGATTATTTATGTGGACTATTTTTTGTTTTTAATTTGTTTGTTAACAGAATATCTCAATAATATTTACTAGCATGACACAGTAGTAGTAATATAACATGTGTGAGCATGATCTCATTATTTTAACTTTAATCAAACATGTTGGGAACAATATATATTCCTTAGATTAACAAGACAAACACTGGATGACAGTATGTCTGTGGTTATTTGCTGAGTTAGAATCAAAGTCATGAACTCACAGAGCTGAGAAAACCTTGAAAAAGAAGAAGGATTCCAAAAACCAACACTCTAAATGTTATGTTTAATTTTGAAGGAGACGTGCACGTTTAGGCAGACTTGCTATATTTACATTATGGACAGGAGCTGCTGCATGAACCACCAGAGGACACTGTTCACTGTGATCATCAGCTCAGCCACCAGAGATCAGCAGCACTTCATCTGTGATCACGGTCAACAGCGCCCTCCAGAGGTTCACTGGTAAAGCTGTCAGTTTAGATCAATGGTTTAGACATCCAGGAGGTCACTGAGCTCAGAAACTCTGCTGTTTGACTCAGACAGAACAGGCTGCCATGTCATCAGGCTGCAGGCTGGAGGAGGTGAAGGAGCAGTGCATGATGGGACAGAGGGGCTCGTGGGCTCTGAGAGCTTCAGTCAGCAGGTGCTGCTCCTCTGACAGAGAATCCACCTGGAGACAAATTCAGTCTGTTACTGCACTGTCAATGCAGAGAGATTGTACTTTAACTGTTTTATTTGATTTGCATGTGTTGCAAGTTCCTCTGTCGCTGTGTCTTTAAATGATGCTCTGATGCATTTCAATGTGTTGCTGCAGTGTAAATAAAGTTACATTCAATGTTCACTTGTAAGCATTAGTATTAATTAGGATTAACAACATTATTTCTATTTGCTAAACACCACATTAATGAGAGAGAGAATTTCTTTAGAGAATTTTTTATTACTTTCATTAAAGTCACAAGTTTACATACATTTCCTTAGTATTTGGCAGCGTTGCCTTTAAACTGTATGACTTGGGTCAAATGTTTTCCTTCCACAAGCTTCTCACAATAGTTTGATGAATTCTGGTTCATTCCTCCAACAGAACTGGTGGAACTGAGTCAGATTTGTTGGTTATGTTGCTCCACACACCTTTACAGTTCTGCCCACAAATCTTCTACAGGACTGAGATCAGGGCTTTGTGATGCCACTCCACAACACTGACTTTGTTGTCCTCAAACCTCTTTATAACTAATCTGGTGGTATGTTTAGAGTCAATGTTCATTTGGAAGATCCATTTGTGTCCAAGCTTTAACTTCCTGGCTGATGTCTTGAGATGTTGCTTCAATATTTCCACATAATCTTCTTCATTTTCTAAACTGCATCAGTCCCTCCTGCAGCAAAACACCCCAACAGCATGGTGCTGCCACCCCCGTACTTCACAGGGATGGTGTTCTCAGGCTTCAAGCTTCCCCCTTTTTCCTCCAAATGTAACAATGGTCATTATGGTCAAACAGTTCAGTTTTAGTTTCATCAGACCACAGGACAAGCCTCCATAAATGAAGGTCTTTGTCTCTGTGTGCATTTGTAAAATGTAATCTGGCTTTTTATGTTGCTTTCGGAGTAATGTCTTCTTCCTCTCTGAGCATCCTTTCAGCCCATGTTAGTACAGGACTGGTTTCACTGTGGATAATGACTCTCTCACCAGCTTCAGCGGCATCTTCACAATGTCTTTTGTTCTGGGGTTGATTCGCACATTTCAAGGATTCACACCAGAACATGTTCATCTCTGGGACACAGAACCCGTCTCCTTCCTGAGCAGTCTGATGGCTGGACATTCCCATGGTGTTTATACTGGTGTATAATTGTTTAAACAGATGAACATGGAACCTTCAGGCATCTGGGAATTATACCGACGGTGTGTCTCCAATTAACTTAAATGTTGTCAATTAATCCATCAAAAGCTTCCAAAGGCATGACACCATCATCTGGACTTTCCCAAATAGTTCAAAGGCAGAGTGTCATGTCTCGTACCAGGTGTTAGGTTTTATTTGGTTTTTTGTCTTGTATTTGTGTTGTCTCGTGGCTTTTATTTTGAAACCTCTTTGCCCTCGTGTTTCAGGAAGCTTGCCCTCTCCCCGGTGTTTCCTGTGTCTGATTGTCTACCCAGCCCTGATTGTCTCCACCTGTTCCTCATTACCTTGTGTGTGTATATATAGTCTGCGTCTCCCTTTGTCCTGTGCCAGTTCGTCTTGTCATTCAGTCAAGCTTCACGTTCTAGCCCTCATTCATGTCCAGGATTTCCGTTCATGTCTCTTGTGGAAACTTCCTTCAGGTTTTGTATTTTGTTTGCTACTTTGTATTCAGCCTCTTTCCTAATCAAGTGTTTGAGTTGTTACTTTGTTTAGAAAGATTAAGTTTTTCCTCATTGAGTGATTTTTAGTTTGTATTTCCTCAATCGAGTGATTTTTTTGGTTCTTTGTTCTCCTCGTTAGAGTGACGCTTTGAGTTCAGGTTTTTTATTGTTGAATGATATTTCTGTTGATACTTTTGTAAATAAATCAGTTTGAGAACATTTTTGAGTTTTTGGAGTCGTGCATTTGGGTTTGCTTTTTTGTGGTCTTGTCACAGAGTAATCTTAGTGTATGTGAACTTCTGACTTTGAAGAAGGTAATAAAAAAATCTCTCTCTCATCATTCTGGCGTTTAGCAAATAGAAATAATGTTGGCAATCCTAACTGACCTAAAACAGAAAAAGTTTAGTCTGATTTAATGTTAGACAAAAAGTTTCTGTCATTTTATGCACACACATATAAGGAGCTGTCAGTAGCACAAATGTGGTTTGCAGTTGTCAAAGCAGCATATAAGGGGAATGACTGGATGCAATCTGACCAGCATCACAAAAAGGAAAGATTTTTTTTATTTTTAACATAAAAAAGACAACAGTGTCATTATTCTGAGTACCTCTCTCCTCAGCTTTCTGTTCCTCTGCTCCAACAGCTCACAGGCCTGGAAGAAAGAAGTATAAAAAAAATTAACTTAGGAAGGACAACTGAGAATTAAATGCAGAATTTACAATTAAGAAAAAACAGTTTGATTGTTTAGGTCTCACATAACAACTGAAATAGATTTCTTTTGATGACCTTTCCATTTGTTTCTTATCCATCCTTAACCTGACAGAAAAACCACACCTTCCTCTACGTCGTTACTGTGCTTAACTGCTCTCGTGGAATTAGTAGATCCTCAAAGAACTTCATGGACAGCCACAGAAGCTTGCTTGCTTGCTTGGGGAAGTTGGAGGAAACTTTATCAGTTCAATTTAGAGAAGCGGTTGCTGAAGAGCCTCTGATAACTCAAAAGGGGTTCCTAGAGGAAGCTTACTAAAAGGATTCCTGGAAGGTTTTTTTGAGTTTGCTGTAGGCCTCACTGACATGTTACATTCACACTTTTGTTCATTGTAAACTTAGTTTTATTGAAATTGTGTGCATTTCACAACAGAACCGAAAGTATTATATCGCTTCACTTGAGTCCAATATAAGACTGTTTTTAAAAATGTCAATATGTACATAACCTACAGAATCTATACATACTGTGAGAGGACCTGAGGTGTAGAAGAGAAAGAGGGAACTCTTTATCACAGGTCAGGATCAGGTTCTTCATTACTAACATTTGGACAAATCCTCCACAGTGGCAATGGAGAGGAATCCCAAAAGGTTCCAGGAGGTTCTAAGAGTGCAGTTTACCATTAACATCCATAGAATAATTTTTGTCGATCATAAATAATATATTAATAATAGTAATATTTTACTTTTATAGTCATATGTGTTTCTGGCCCAGTGTGATTTAATCATTTATATTTTCCCTGTTTTACACAGTGCAAATATTTTTTCCTCATTTGTTTTGGTGATTTGTGTTTTCTTTGCTGAGATCAATGTCATCAGTAAATGGTCCCACTTCATATCCAAGGTGTAGTGTTGCACACTTATTTTCATTACTATTATAATTATTTGACTACCTGTAGATAGATAGTGAGGTGTGCATGCCTAAGTTTAGCCCTATTCAGGACTTTTGGGGTCTTTTGGACCCCAGGCCATTTGGTGTAGGTGACAGGTATTGGGTTTTTATTTTATGTTTATTTTTGAATATAAAAGAGGGACATTTGTCATGCATTTGGAACTAAAAAAAATACATCAACTTATCAGATAATGTATTTAACATGGTATAAAAGTCTGTAATGAATAACAGATATTTTGCACACATTCTTTCTTGCAGTCCAACAGACCCCGAAAGACCTTCTATGTATGGCAACATGAAAGTCCTGAATAGGGTTAAACATACCCTCTAAACCAGCAGAACTTCTGCACATGTGAGGATCTGACAAAACCCCGTTCATAGTCTGAAGGTGGAAGAGCAAACACTAACCTCATGCAGCACGTCGGCTCTCTGGGTTTGTCTCTTCCTGCTTTTTTGAGCTGCAACTCTGTTCTTCTCTCTCTTCTTCAGCCTCCTGCCTTCATCCTCTGAACACTGACACACAAACAGGCACAGCACACACAGACGGCAGAAGATGAGAGAAAAAATGTTACCTTTTTCCTTTTAGTCAGTAATCCTTTGCAGTTGTTGTATCTGACATATCAGGACAGTAAACTGAACTCACACTGACTATTATTTATATCTGCCACTTGCTCTCACAACACAAACTTGATGCAAAGCACTGAGGTGCCTCTTAATGACATCAACAGAAGCTGGTTCAAACCTCCATGATATCTGACCTCCCTGACAGCAGGTCATAAGAGGAAAAATCTCTTCTGTGCAGAAATAGCTAAATACAAAAACAAAATCAGAGCACTGTGATCTTTCTTACCTCACATCCTTCACAGAGTCGGTTATTCATCTGTTGGGACTGGCAGGAGGAATCACAGTCTGACATCACAGACTTTAGAATCAGAAAACGTTTAATTAGAAAAACAGGAGGATACCCTGCACGCACGCTCTGCCAAAAAACAAAGAGTTATTTGTGGACTGGGCATCAAGTCCAGTGAAGTTCAGAGAAACCAGACGGAAACCAGGCTGGACTTTCATTTCAACTTTCTTTTTACTTTTGCTGCCGTTTTTGTAGAAGTGGTGAAAGCAGTTCACATAAGTCACATGACTCGGGGCCCACGGTTGACCTGAACGTTTGTGGATGGATTAAAGTTATCGGTGAGTGTTGCACTGGATGACATGTTGCATCATTCTAATGAACACAGGCCAGAGTCGTTTAGTTTCACTGCAGCCCACAGGCACCATCCTGCTGCTGGAAATACTGCAGCTGCAAATAGTCCCCGAAATGCACTATTTTTAAATGCTTAAATTTTTTTAAAAAGGGTGAAGAAGGTAGATAAATCATGAAGTATTGAGACAGAGTAACACACTACAGGGAAGGCCGCAAAATGAAAACACAAAGAAAGAGGCTTGTATTAGCTGTAAATGTATTTAAATTTAATTTAGAGGAACCACAAATGAATGAACAAATTAAAATGTTTAAAAAAGAATGACAAAGAATAGAATTGCAAGCTGAGAGAATTTTTAATGCAATATGAAAGTCACTGGTCTCTTTTTTGGATTTACTGATTCAGTGAAGTTCTCAAAACGATTTAATTTTTCCTAAATTCTTGTAGAGGTTTCTGTAGCAACATGTTGTGCGAAAACTTTCCCTTTAAATTAAGATACTGCTTTAGGATTTCTTCTAAACCACACAAGAAAAGTTTATAAATGTTACTTTAAATATACCCTCCTATAAAAATCTTTTTTTTTTTTTTTTTAACCTTGTTAACATGTTGGAAAACCCACCGTGTTAAAAAAAAAAAAAAAAAAAGGAGTCAACATCATTTATACAAACAAACTCAAACTAAACAATCAGTCAGCTTGCAGGGTATCATCATCTGTCCCAGTTTGAATATGTACGGTTGAATTACTCCAATATTAGAACGGGCTATTGTGTGGTGCAGGGTAGGTTTCAGCAGTCGTGGGTGAGCTGGTGTGCTCGAGCTACAGCCACAGTGTAGAGTTTCCTTTAAAAAAAACTTCTAAATATTCACCTTTGATACACAGAGATGAGTTATAGGGGTTTAGTCATGGCAATTTGCTAATACATGCAATAAGAAAATCAGAAATCCTCTCTTCATTAATAACAATAAGACCCTCATTAAGCTCAGTGAATATGAAAGAAATACAACTTGCTGCACATTTCTGTACATGCTGAAACTTACTTATATTCACATGGACACTCATTCTTAATGGAAATTACAAAGCAATCCACCAGATCTGTGTACGTTCCATCAGACTCCCACATGTCACTGAACCTTGTTTTCTTCACTGAGGAGCATGAAGCAGTTTGAGGTGATTTATTTCAGCATAATCTGTGGCTTTGTGCACAAGCTTCAGAAGAACAGCGCCCTCCTGTGGTTTTGTGCCATAAAGTCATCCTGCAGTTGCTTTTGTTTACAGGAAGTCTGGCCAGGTGACTATTCATTTATTTCCAAATGTGAAACATGGAACAAATCAAAAATGTATACTGTTTAGAATGAATAAATATGAAGACAGGATATTATTTTATCATCGCTTTCTGTTGTAAAGTTGAAAAACTTAACTGCGTTGGAAAAAACTCAGTCCAAAACAAGTCACACCAACATCACGTTATTTTACTGTCCTGTAGCAGTGACGTGTCACTCCTGCTTGTCCTCTCCCATGATGCACTCTACTTTCTTGGCGAGGGGCACGTAGCCCTCCGTGGCTGCCGCTTCCTCCACGGCTCTCTTGATTGGCTGCCTGTGTCTTGACGCTCCATGTACGGGAGGCATCTGAGCGTCCGATTGGCCGTTCAAACCAAACACCTCTCTGTGGACCTCTTGAGAGGCTTGACTGGGTTTCATGTTGAGGATCTCACAGAGGCCTTCGGCTTGCTTTTGCAGAGTGTTGATTGACTGCAGAAAAAATATGAGTTTCAACAAAGCATCTATATATTGATGTATAAAAGGTTCATTTGCAGATTAAACTTGACTGAGGGTGTAGGATGTTACCTTTATGACCTGGATGGCCTGTTTTACCATCCCAGGAGCAGATGCTGACAAATCGCTCATGATGGTCTCTGGTGAAACACATACATTGAATGTATTAAATAAAATGCTGCCATTGATTCATTGAAGCGAATTTTAAAAGCGGCTCGTGCTGCTTCCTGGAAGGGTTAAAACCAGGCTCTCAACCAGCCTCCCCCAGTTTTTAGTTTTGTTAGGCTTGTTTGTCTGGCTCGTCTTGGCTTTTTCGTCTACTTAAAATGGTAAACAAAAAGTACTGATGCATTTAACTATTCCACTTTAATGAGGCATCAAGAGAACAAAAGCACTTGTACCAGCTTGTGAATTATCCATTTATAAAATGTTTGTTCTGAAGTATCTTATGGGGACGTCAGTGAGCAGTGAAACTAAAATGAACAATGTGTGTGTGCATGTACTGTGTGAGTAAACAGATGTAACCACCTTGATCAGGATCTTTAACCACCTCTTGACGTTTCACTGCAGGCTCATATAATCCCTGAAATACAAACACAGCAGATGACAGGAAAGTTGACACAGAGCACATCAGGGGCCTGTACTATGAAGCCAGATCAACATATCCAGGATATCTGACAGAGATCCGGCTTGACTAACCCTAACAACCGCACTCAGGATAACTGGGCCTACGACGGTGGTTATCAACTCGGTAAATCAACCCAGGTTTGTCTGATCTGAGTATGAGTGCGTGCACATAAAATGGGCCACGTTATCGGTGTCTGACCAATCACAACTATGGACAAGTCTGGCTGCAGAGTGGCTCACTTTACCGCAGAGGAGCAGAATATAATCTGTACAAAATATGAAGAGTTTCGTATTATGTGGGCGCCCGGATAGCTTGGCGGGTAGGGCAGGCAACCCATGTACAGGGGCTTTAATCCCAGACGCAGCGGCTACAGTTCGATTCCAGCCAGCAGCTCATTTGCTGCATGTCATTCCCCCACTCTCCTCCCCACATTTCACTGTCCACTATCATTAAAGGAAGAAAAGCCCAAAACATATCTTTCAAAAAAAAAGTTTCGTATTATGTTTTATCTTGATTATTGTTCAAAGTTTGGATTATTATTTCAAAAAGTTAAATAATTCTATTAGAAACTGATGACTTTAATTTACATTTCACCTCAATATTCATTCACAGTCTGAGTAACCTTTATCCCAACAGTCATTTGTTGGAGTGGATACCAATCTGCGATATGTTGGAAACCTTTTTTTTAATCCCAGTGGTTATATTTTATGAGTTGTGATACAAAATGTTCCTCCTGTCACCACACATCCACATGCACATTAATCTGACCCGGCAAATAAAGATACACCCAAAAAACAATAAACAAATGAAACCCACCATGATTTTACGTTCAGCCTTGAGGGCGTGGACCACATGGGGAAGGATCTTTCTGGGGTACGCACGCCGCCTCCTGGTGGTCTCAACAATGGTATCATCCAGGAGACCTTCCAGATCAATAGCCTCGTCCTCCGCTGAGTGTGTTCATGTTGGAGGAAAAAGAAAAACAGACGCTGTGATCAAATAAACAAGGCTTTCCTTTAGACACACTAATGTAGAACAACACTTTTACTGATTAAGGAGGTAGTAAATAAAGTTTTAAAGAGTATTAAGATGGACAAGAATCACCTTCAACATCAGGTGCCTCCTCCCAAGGCTGTCCGTTCACCAACACATTAACCTGAACAGCAGCCTCAAAGTTCTGCACAGAAAACAACACGACTGAACACAATATTTCAATAAACACAGTCTGCATTATCACACGTAAACCACAGTTTCAGTGATGAAGCTGCAACAGATCAGACCTAATAAAGAAAGCTTTTGTTTCAGTAACACAGCAAGCAAATCAAAAGACAGATTCAGTTTATTTTGTCTACTCAAGATCGTGATATCAGTTGCCTAACCTCTTCAGTACCTCATGTAATCATAACAGCACACAGGAACAGATGCAGTCCAAGAGATTTGAACTGCTGTGACTTAATGCAAACTGCTGAGCCTACATACAAAGTTGTGATGTTACACACAGAGCTATATATTAGTTACCAGCTCATCACAACAAATGTTAGAAGTTCCCTGTATAGTTCTTGCCAGCAAACCAAACCTTAAATACGACATTTTTTGAATGGGACCTGGTGTAAAACTTTCAAAGCCTTAGGTAAGGATTAACATTTGTTATAGCAAAAGACCTTGTTGAAAACAAGCATAAGCGGCCAGACGTAAATAGTTTGATAATCCCCAAATGATTTAAATATACAGTTAATGACATTACAACGTAAACATAAAGTCCTGCTCACCGCCAGCAGCTCCTGCAGTAACAGTCGCTTGGTCTCCTCTGTAACCTCTGTCTGTCCGTCCAGCGCCGTCTTCAAAACTTCTTTGTATTTGTTTATCTGCTCATTTAATTTTCTCTTCGAGGTAACTTCAACTCTGTATTCTTCATTAGTTTCCTCGCTGGGTGAGGTTTTACTCTCTGCGGGCTCCATCTTTACCGCCAACTTTGTTTATATTTTTAACCGGAACTGAATGTGTTACTTCCTGGTCCTTCTGCTAAGTCGGTCCCTCTAGGAACAACATGTCTACGGAAGCGTTCTGGCATGCTGTTAGCCATGCTGCTAAAAACAAATGGCAAATATCGCAGTTTTCCAAGGATTGTTTTCTCTCTGAGCTCTTATTGTTTGATTTCAAATGGAGAATGGCTTCGTTGACTGCCATTGTCATATGTCAGCCCGCGAATTTGAAGAGGTAAGGCCTTAAATGTACATGGCTTTAAATTTATTTAGCACTACTATGCTAAGTACAGAAAATGTGTATGATCATTTAGCCCCAACTCAATTAGTTTTAGACTGCTTAAGAGTATCTGTATTGCGAGCTAGCATTACAAATATCCATGCTAGGTTATAACCACATTATGTACCATACAAGCGTTTAACTTTCACATACTGTGACTTCATTTACAGCCTAATTGCAGCTGTTATGTACCGATTTTCTTTACTTCTTGGGATTTATTTTGATTCATTCGGTTGCCTTTCAAATAGATCTGTAACTTTTTTATTTGTAGGATCTGGAGGATGTGATCAAGAGGGCCAGAGAGGTACGTACTAATCAGTTCCCCTGATGGAAAAGGTCTTCACACCATATAAACACTACACCTACTACATATGAGTCATTTGAAAAGAACAGACACTGTTACGGGAATTGGTAACTACAACTACGAAGTAGGGAACAGCAATATGACTGAAATCAACGTAGCTGTAAGGTATATTTTATGTTTGTTTACATATATAAACCATAGTATGAATGTGTGTGTGTGTGTGTGTGTGTGTGTGTGTGTGTGTGTGTGTGTGTGTGTGTGTAGGCTGGTATAAAGACTTTGGTTGCAGTTACAGAAGAAGTTGGAGAGTTTGCCAGAGTCCTCCAGCTGCAGGACAGGTCTGCATGTACTCCAATCACTGACACATCACAATATACGGGGATTATATTGTCTGCTTCATAAACACATATTATGTATATTATATAGTGTACTATTTGTTGAGAGTGCAGAATTGAGAGCTAATTAAGTACTTTCATAAAAGACTGCAAAAACGACTTTGAAAGTCATTTTTGAACTTGTAGGACAATGAATAAAGCGTGGGAGAAAGAGGTTCAAATTTCAGATTTAAAAAGTTAGAAAACACCACAGTCCCATGGTGGAACCATTATCAGCCTCGTACAACGAATAAATAGGATCAGACACTCTGAGGCAGCTGCAAGAGTTATGCTTTCTCTACAAATATTTCTCCACTAAAAATATACAATCTCACAGAGATGACACACTAAGGGGCCTGAAGATCTGCTATCACAGTAAGAACAGAACCTGAGTACATTTTCTAGCTCAGTGAAGTCACTCGTGCAGTGTAAGAAATACAAATGCATACATTGTCTCACACGTCTGCTCTCAGCTGGAAAGTATTGTGTTACCCATTCATGGTGTAGTGTTCTATTTATTTCTCACAGCTATCCAGATTTGGTGGTTCCATGTTTTGGCATCCATCCGCTGCAGGCCAGCGGGGGGCCTGAGCAACGCAGCGTGAAGCCTCAGGTAGTAAAACAGTCTGCACAGCATCCATATTATGATTATGTCCCTCTATATTACTGAGGGTATCACTATCAGGACTTCTCAGTGGTGTCCTAGGTGAGGAAAACACACGGTGAAGGCTTCAGTGTGTGAAACAGAGATAGGGAAGGAGTGCTTTAGAGCACTCTTTAGGAAAAGCATGTCTGTTTAGTTGTTCTTTCATGCCATTGCTGGTAATACTAAAATTCACACTGATCATAACAGAAACCCAAGGCTGTAATACTAAAATAGACAGGCACTCATAATGCAGATAAAGTTTCACAAAAATAAACTGTGATGTGCTGATCTGGTTTACAGTTTCTTTTTCTTTTTTTTCAGTTTTCATTTTTTCACAGTTCAATTAAATAATCCATGGGTCTAATGTTTAACAGCAGACTGAAATGTAATTGTTTTTACTGGCATCATACCATGTTGATTCAGGTCAGCTGAGCTCAAATCAAATCTGGTGCTAATGATTTGAACTGATAGCGACAGGCTGCTGTTACACACAAGACATGAAAATGCAGACATGGAATAAAGTTGTTAATGTTTAAAACATCTGTAGATTGTTTGCAATTTTTGAGGAAAAATACAAATTTTCTTCTAAAAGACACAAACCAGTTAAAAACCCTTCATTAATCAGAATCAAACTCCCTGCTGCAAAAAAAAAACATTGTTACCTGTGTTTTTCTGTTAAAACAAAAAAAAAAACTTTTATTAACTTTTTTTTGGTGAAATAAAAGTGAATGTATGAGCCCTGCATTCACTCATTGCTTTGTGTCTTTAGTTACAGTTATGTCAAATGTAATTTTGAACAAAATGAGAGTCATTCTTTAATTTAAACATATTTTCCACAGGATTTGGATGCTGCCCTGCCACAGTTTTACGACCACAGAGAGCGCCTTGTTGCTATCGGAGAGGTAAACTCTAAGCCCGAACTAAACCCATTTCTAACATCATTTTACATCATTTGCATTCTACATTAGAGTAGATGCAGCTTACTTGTGTGGACCTCCAGTGACAGATTATAGTACATTCCTTGGGCCTCGTGCTATCACCTAAATCTCTTTATACTCTAAATGGGTGAGAAGTGTTTTGGTGCATCTCAAGCTCTTCAAAAAGGGGCTCATTAAGGAAATTTGGAACCTGAACCAAATTTCACATGAAAGCATTAACCATAGAGTGTAGCGTAGACGAGTCTGACAGCTGTCAACTGGCTTCTTATAGGTACGTAAACAGCATTATATTTATGTAGTGCTTCTCAAAACTTTGCAAGTCATAGCGCTGTGCACACAAAAAACAGAGGCAGTACAAATTGAAATAGTCTACTTAGTAACCCAAGCACAAAAACACGTCTTGAGATCTTCAGCTGCGACTTAAAACACCCATGAGAGTGACCTGACTCCCAGGAGGAGACTGTTCCACAACCTGAGACCCAGGACGGCAGACACACAGTCCCCTCGTGTTCTCAGTCTCAAGGGAAGCTCCACTGGCAGACTTTACTCATCAGACCTAAAGGGCTAAGCAGAGATGGAAAGTAATATTAGTTCACTGATTTACTCTGCAGAACGATTATTCAAGGCCCTATAAGGAGACGGATCTTAAATTGGGTTTTAAACTTAATTGGAAGCTAGTGTACTGACATTGGAGCGATACAACATCTTAGTAAGTAATCTTGCTGCAGAGTAGTTTTTGACTAAGTGTAACCAGCGTCCTGGCTTAGGCAGGAATACAAAGCATTGCAGAAGTCTAAATGGGAAGACACAAAAGCAAAGGATAACCATTTCCAACTGCTGCAAGGACAACGTAGGGTGCAGTTTCACCATGTTCCTCAGGTGAAAGCAGCAGGACTGAATAATTATCTTGACATGTTGATCAAATTTTAAGTTGTTAAAAAACGATGCCTAGGTTTTTGGATAAAAATTGTATCTCATGAACAGATATTTTGGAAGATGTTAATGGACCTGATGTGGGGCAAAAACCAGAACTTGAGTCTTGGTGTGCTTTATACAAATAAAGAAAGACGTCCAGTGACTAATCCCCTCCAGACAATTGTGCAGAGTAGTTAAATCTGAGAAGTCTCCAGGTCTAACGCATAAGTAGAGCTGTGTATCATCAGCATAACAATGATAAAACCCGACTGTGTGCAGTCTGTGGATAAAACACAACCCAATGCCCCCAGTTGAGCATATTTAATGAAAATGATAATAAGACAGGTCTAAGAATGGACCCCTGAGGCACATCACAAGTCACTGGAGCACAGGTGGTATCATCAAAGGAAATGAAAAACCTCCCATTAGAAAAATATGTCGAAAACCACTTTAGGCTACACCAGATATCCCAGCCCATTACTGTGGCCTATCAAGTAGAATAGCATGAATGATAGTGTCAAAGGCCACAGAAAAATCTAGAAGACTTAAAACGGCGAGTTCACAGTGGTCTAACTGGATAAGAATGTCATTTGTTCGGCTTAAGTAAGTTCATAGGTTTAATTATTTCAGGCACATGTGGCTGCCCCAGGCTAACAAATCCTACCTTTAATGTGACTTCTAGTAAAGTAAAGAAGATTAAACTTGTTCAGACCCCCAACTTACCTCCTAATCTTACTTGTACGGAAACATTAATGAATACAGTCAGTTACAATCTTTCTCACGCACATAGTCAATCACACACACTCCTCATTCTCCAGCAGTCATTAATGCTGTAGAGCTTTTCTAGATCCTCCTGTTGAGGAATGCATGTGTTTGTCAGAGCAGATTTCAGGCATCACAGGGCTAAGTCAACAGTCCCAGACTGCTGTTTCCATAGCTGTTATTTTTACGGATGGATGCTTGGCGAGATCCGGCAGCGAGATCCAGAATGAGTCTATAAATATTTTCCCACATACAGTTTTACCTGCAATACTTCTGGCAGTTCTACTTTGTTATGCACCTGAGTGTTAGACTTGAAACTTTAACTTGACTCGAGCTTGAAGATGAGAAACTTGACCAGTAAAGCAAATTTGTGATTTTAGGCTACATTAATAAAACTGACTTGACTTAATCTGGACTTAACTGCTGTGAGAACAGATTATTTGAGATTTAACACCCTAAAGACATGCCTTGATCTGAGACTTGAATACACAGCACAAAACAAATACACGACTAAATAGTTGTTTAACTTTAACATCAGTGATTTAAATGTTTCTATGATTGTATCCTAACAGTGAGCACTGAGAGGCCTCTGGGACTTGACTTGGATTTACCTTCAAGGATGTGAGCGTTGAATTTGTTCCTACAAACACGACCAGTCACCAGTACGTCTGTGTAGATTCTCAGTCAGCCAGGTCGTGGTAATCCGAAGAGCTTTAATGCAAAACAACTAGACTTCTCCTTTTTGGTTCTTGAAGATGTTTTCACCTCATTGCCTCACCCAAAAGGCTTCTTCCGTTCTGACTGATGGGGAGTCCTAATTCTATGTTGTTGACTGCCGTCACTTCCTTTCTTCACATCTTCAGTCATGTTGAAGTGGGATAGCCATCTCTTAACAGAGGAGGAGGGGAACAACACCACTTGGCAGATACTTATATTGCAGTCTTGATATCCCTCACCAGATAGTTCCCCGACCATTCATTATTGGGCCACTAATGAGCCATTAGCCATGCGATTTGAGGACAACAGTATACTGTATATGGGACTCCCCAACAGTCAGTTAAAACTGTAAAACTTCTTGGATGAGAGGTGAAACATCTTCAAGAACCAAGAAAAAGAGAAGTCCTGTCGCTTTACACTGAATCTCTTTGGATTCCTGGTCAGCGCTACAAACAGCAGTGACAGCTGAGTTTTTGCCATCTCTGGAAAAAAATAAATAAATAAATGAGGTGTGGGATTCTAAACCCCTTTGACATATGGTGGATATACGCAAGAGCAATGAACCAGTGACATGAAAGCCTGCCTTTGACTTATTAGTCTTGGCAGCCAGATACTAGTTTGAGCCTAAGAATGGTTGTGAAGAAAACACTGGAGATGGATTTTTTTATTTTTTTTTTAATAATTACACAAAATTCCACTCCTACTCTGTTGAAAAAGAGAAACGTATTCCCAAAGCTTTCTGATCCTACTCTAGGGTAACTGTGTCTTTTACTATACTGGATGGAAACACTTTATTCTTGTGCATCTGCACCGGGGACATGATGTTCTACAAACACTTTTCTGGCCAATATTAATTACAATAACTCAGGAAAAGAGATAGAGAGGAGTGTAAACTGCAGCTTCACTGATTTGCAGGGCCATACAACTGTGAGGTGGTAATTAAAATCTTGCAACATAACAAAACACAGCTCCTACCGGGGATATGATTACTGATTTTATTTTTATTTTGTCTTATTTTCAGATTGGTTTGGATTTCACTCCGTGGTGTGCCCCCACTCAGCAGGACAGAGATGACCAAATGAATGTCTTCATCAAACAGCTCAACATTGCCAAGGAGCTGGACCTACCTGTGTGAGTCACGAATGACGACCCTGGTGTAGTGACGGTGTAACACATGAGAGCAGAATTAAAATTATTTTTAAAAGAATTAAAGCTCCAAGGTGCTCTTGTAGCAGAAAAGATAAAATTCAGATGGCTGTTTCATGTTGATGGAATTCTAAAAACATAGACAATACTTGTGCATATTAAAGCAGAGCTGGGACCACGTCTAACAGAACAAACAGGCTTGTTCAGGGTGAATCCACAGTACAGTACTAATGGATGCAGGACAACAAATGAGCAAAACACAATCAACTCATAGCTTTACAGAATGTTCAAAATTGGAAAAAAGGTTTACAATATTTGCTTTTTACGACTGTGGCACCAGCCTACGTAATCACAGTAACTATAAAGATGGACTGATATCAGTTTCTTCATTTAGCCCAATCCAGCTTGCTAACAACTTAAGTAACAGCATAGATCAGTGCAGAGTAATAAAGGACAACCAGAGGGCTTTAGGTGCTCAATCAATATAAACAACAAGAGGATTCCCTGACCTAATCTATCTTAACAACTAAGAAACTCAATGTTAAACTTCTGTGCTGCCTTACCTGCACTAACTAACCAAAAAAATGTATGTTCGAGTGTAGCACCCCTAGAACTAAAAATTCATACTTATGATCCAATTTGACAAGATGTGCTCAGGAAAGAAAAACCGGCCCAGCCTCCAGTGACAAACAGATGTCTCATGAATTTCACAAAACCATTCACATGTCTGCAGTGGTGCCATCTGTCTAGGTAGCAGAAACACTAAACAACTAGACGCCGAGGCGGGATGCTCGCTCTAAATCACAGCCTTGCAGAGTGGTACTTTACAGGCAGCTGCCATGGCAACAGACACAGCTTGATTGGAGCGCAGTGCCGGAGAACCGGTCCAGTAAGTCAGGGCAGGAGGCACGACCCAGGACAAGGTTAATCACACAGAACAGTGAAGGGAGTGCAATGGCCCAGAGCTGTCAGCTGTGACCTGCATTTAGCTCAGATTAAAAAGGTTCTCTGCAGTAACGTGACACCATCACTTGCTTGAATATTTCTCTTGATAAGTTCTTTGCCTTCAACCATAAACCTGTCTGGGTCACTGCTTTGTATATTATAAACGTGGGTAATCCAAACATGCTCTTCTGATTGCTTTTACTGTATATTCAGAGGTGCATGACAAACATGATGCTACAGTTAATTAAATATCAGTGTCATACACAGCTCATCACTTTTTATTTTTAAGTACCCTTTAATGATTGATGAAGCCAAATATTTGTGTTATTATTGGAATCAGATGGCTTTTTCACTCATATATACCTGATATTAGGAGGGACTGGAAAGACTTTCCTTAGAATAGGGCCACCCAGTTTATTTTTATTGTCCTTTTTAGAATCATTTTGTTCCAATGATTATGTTAATTGTAGTTTTGTTTTTACACAGAAGTGCCAAAACTCTCCTATTATTGTAAACCTTGGACCTCCTCCAGTTGTTTGGAGCTGCTAATAGATACCATGGTGTGCTTTTTTGTGTCGAATATCTTCCTGTTCTCCTCTGCTGTATTAGTTTTGATGTAAAGAACAAGAATGTGTAGTTTGCTGTAGTCAAAGATTGCAGCGAGGTGAGCATAACACACACACGAAGCTGGTAAGTCACACACTGAAGCTTTCTGTACAAGCTGTCGTCAAATGGAGGACAGGCTGACGCTGCCACTTCTCTTCTCTGTAGTCTCAGATAGACCCACGGTTTAACCAGGAAGTGGTTTTGACTTCATTAGAGCCTGTTTTTCATAAGAAGCACGTGATCAGACAAGGCACTGTCACCACTCAGCGAGCTGGTTTTCATGGGCACACATGATCAAGCAGCCACGCACAAGTGACTGAGTGATGATTATGTGATGAGTTTATGATTCATATCCCACAGCTGAAAACAACAATCCATCTGGTTTCACAAATAGAATCTTTCAGAATCAGTGAAAAAGTAGTTATTTGTCAAAAAAATATCTAAGTTACTGTAGTGATGCTGCTGCAGTTAAGTCAGTTTGTCACAGAATCAGTTTATTATTTTTATTGGATGTTCTTTGGTCTGTTTGCATTTGTAGTTTTATCATTGTTCTGGATTCTTTGGTTATGAAAAGTGCTATATAAGTAAATGTGCTTCATCTTGCTTCTCTGTTGCCTGCACAGAAACGTCCACTCGCGATCAGCAGCAAAGGTCACTATAGAGACCATGAGACAACAAGGTGAGTGTTTCATTCTGTGTCCTTCACACGCGGACATTTGGAAGTTATGACTTTGAGATGTTCTCTTAGGTATCAGCCGAGCTCTGCTCCATAACTTTGCGGGGAAGCCGTCGGTTGCTCTGGAAGGCGTGAAGGCTGGTTACCTTTTCTCTTTCCCACCTGCTGTCTGCAGCAGCCAACAGGTAGGAAGGATTTACCACGATGAAAAGAAAACCGAGACACAGATGATATAGTGTACAAACCTTAAATAAGAAAGAAAAAGAAGGTATGTTTTTAACAGAACTTCTTCCAGCACCAAGATCATGTGCCCTCACTTAACAGACTGTACGCTCAGTGCACTGTTATGAGTTTACACACATAAATAAGAGCATGCATCATCAGGATGGTCTTCAGTCCTGTATGAATGATCAACTTGTACATGTGTATGACAGAAAGTTTTGCTGAATCCACAATACTTTAACTGAACTTTGGTTCATATGCAGGCATAAAAAATGTACAGAATATTTTCACAGTCACATGAAAAAACACCAGACCTTCACTATAAACCTGACTGCATGTACCAAATATTACCAGCAGCGTGGAAGGAAAAATTATAAATAGTAATGGCAATATGCTCACTGTACTACCTGGATGAAGTAAGACTAGAACGTATACTTTGTGTTGTAACTAATGCAACAATAATGATGTCAAAAGCAGTGATAGAAATTACAGTGAGTAGTGCAATACCTTCGTGGGATTAAAAATGTACAGTTTTCTGGTAAAGAAGGTGTCTGTGTTACCGCTGAATTACAGCTATGTGGTTAGTTTCACTGACATGCTACTGCAAATATTTAACATGCATGTTTTCTGTTATTAAAGCCTTTAATGTGGAGATATCGTGACAACAGTTGTAACAGCTATAAGCCTAAGGCCACAATACTGAAATGAGCAGCATGTCTTGACATAACGAGTTTATCTGCTGAGTCACCATTAGAATAAAGAGTGACAGTTAGTTTTACTTCAATTTCACAGAGAAACAAGCTAATTAAGCAGATCCCACTGGAGCACATCTGTCTTGAAACTGACTCTCCTGCACTGGGGCCTGAAAAGCATGTAAGGTTTAAATGATTACAATTCATCATGTTTAGACAGTGTAACCAGAGTGTGTAGCTCTTTTGCAGATGTTTTTTTTATTTCTTCCTGTCTCCCAGATGAGGAACGAGCCCAGTAACATCACTCTGCCTTGCCGCTACATCGCTGACGTCAAAGGTCTGTCGCCACAAACTGTTCAGCTCGTGACTGCACAAAATGCATACAGACTTTTCCCCAAGGCCAACAGAGGCACACAGTAAATCTGACATGTAGGTGCATTGTCTGTGCGTGACAATCTTTATCCATTTTTTATTTAGTAATTACTTTTCAAGGTATGAAATGAAATGAAGCTGTTTCTAGATGAAAAATCAAGAAATAAAACACCATTAGCATCAATCCTAATCACAAATATGTCATATGCTTCACATATTATGACAGTAGTTCCTCTGGATCTTTGTTTTGAACTGATGGATTAACATGAAATAAAACATCACCTCAGGACAGCGTGTACGAGTTCATTTTAAATCCTGTCAAGATCAAACACAAATCTTCAAACGTGTTCTTTTAAAACCTTGTGCTGATGACCAGTGGTTGTTTACATTCTGGATGTTTTATTAGACTGTATTCCTGTTGAATAGTTGCACAACAGAGTTTCCGGGAATAAAATACTGTGGTTGCAGTGTCTTCAGGTTCCGTGTGGTTACGCAGTATCAGCTTGTCTGGTCTTGTCAGGCTGGAATCGTCTACACCAGGTGTGATTTATCTGGAAGAGAAAACACGATGCATTACAGATGACTGGCTACAGCAGCCGGGTTCATTACTTATAGTACGACTGAGTCATTTTCCAAAATGTACTATAGTGTAGGAATTTTGCAGAGTGCGTTCTAGGCATTATATCCCCGAGGGCATTTTGAATTGCCCCTAGGGGATAAATAAAGTTATTTGAATTGAATTGAATTGCATTGAATCCTAGTGCGGCTGCAAGGTGGCTCGGTCGTCAGCACGGTTGCCTCGCAGTTAGACGGTCGCCCCAGTGAGGACACCTGAGATCTTTTTGCATGGAGTTTGCATGTTCTCACCGTGCAGCGTGGGTTCTCTCTGGGTTCTCCGGCTTCCTCTCACACAGTTCAAAAACATGTTGAGGTTAATCAGTGATTCTAAATTGTCCGTAGGTGTGAATGTGTGTGTGCTTGGTTGTCTGTCTCTAAGTGTGGCCCTGTGATAGACTGGCGACCTGTCCAGGGTGNTTGCAGAGTGCGTTCTAGGCATTATATCCCCGAGGGCATTTTGAATTGCCCCTGGGGGATAAATAAAGTTATCTGAATTGTATTGAATTGAATTGAATCCTAGTGCGGCTGCAAGGTGGCTCGGTCGTCAACACGGTTGCCTCGCAGCTAGACTGTTGCCCCAGTAAGGACACCTGAGATGTTTTTGCATGGAGTTTGCATGTTCTCCCCGTGCAGTGTGGGTTCTCTCCGGGTTCTCCGGCTTCCTCTCACACAGTTCAAAAACATGTTGAGGTTAATTGGTGATTCTAAATTGTCTGTAGGTGTGAATGTGAATGTGCTTGGTGGTCTGTCTCTAAGTGTAGCCCTGTGATGGACTGGTGACCTGTCCAGGGTGTCCCCTGCCTTCACCCTGAGTCAGCTGGGATAGACTCCAGCCCCCCAAGACCCTAGTGAGGATTAACTGGTGTATAGATAATGGATGGATGGATGGATGAATCAATTATATTCAACTGAATACCTAAAATGTTCAAAAATACTGTTAATTCCACTAAGATGAGACATTTATTTATAAACCAGGTGAGTAAAGGCCTCATAAAAGCTCCAAACTTCTCTTATCCAGATGATCACTTCAACTAAATACCGTCAAAGCAGTTAGCCAGTATCACAGCATTATAAAAGGAAATGTAACACTGAGAAAGCACTTTGATAAACTCACTTTTGTCCCTGATGAGGTTGTAGTTTTGATATATTTAGCAGCACCTTCCTCCAGCCCCTCTGGACTGTTCAGAGGTTCATCAGCCACTCAGTAAAACATTTCAAAGATTCAAAGCACAGACAGTGTAAACGGAGATATTTCAGGAATGTTTCAGTGAATTCTTTACAAAAGTCCTCTTACAGCTCTCTTCGAAGTGCCTTCTCTCGGGCAGCTTGGCGGGGGCCTGTCGCTCGGTGCAGGCCGCCCTGCGCTGCGGTCCGGCGGTCAGAGCGGTGAGCAGGACCGGGCTGGTCCGCAGGTGACTCCCGTAGTGTCTCCTCTGGGTCCTCTCCCAGGTCTGCCGGGGGCTCACCTCCACCTGGCACCACGACTCCCTCCGCAGGTTGAGCTCCAGCAGAGCCCGCTCCTCACACCCAGACATCGCGTTTTTTATCTTTAAAGAGTTTTGGGTGTTTTTTTCCTTTTATAAATTATTCACAGTGGAGCTGTCTGGGTTGCTATGGCAACGAGGAAGCGAGGGAGTGTGCACGCGCACCTGCGTTTGGGAAGGTGAGTCACTCTGAAGTGGACAAAACACACTGCCAGTAATTGATTTTTATTTTTAGCTACTCCTCGACAGGGTTAACGCTGTTTGTTTCTCATTTGTTCTTGTCATATTGGATTAAGAAGCCTACAACAGACACACAACAAAAGCTACAGTGCAAGAGCGTTATATGACCAAAACAAACTATTAAATCACTATGAGCAGAATTTAATAAGAGGTAATATCAGAAACATTCTTGCTCACCTTTAAGTTTAAAGCTGTGCAGAATCAGTAACAACAAAGAAACCTGCACAGCACCCATCATTTTTCCTCTATCCATGAAACTTATTAGGGAAAATTCAGACAAACAAAGCAGTTTTTTCTCTGTTTTTGATTATTTGAGTTTGAATTTAATAAGAAAATGTATGTAATGTTTTGTGCATTAATGTAGGAGGACATCAAAACGCCTCAACAGCTCTTAAACAATATTTCTAAAACTAGAGCGTTAGAAAATACTACATATTTACTATTGATTTATGTATTGATTGACCTAAAATATCTTCTTCATATCAACACCAAAAATCCGATTCAGCTCAATCCACTGATCCACTTATTTCTTTTTTCTTTTTGTACTTTAAACAGAGACAGAGTGAGAGCTCATTCACTTGTCAAACCAGGGCAACAAGTAGTCAGAAGGTGATTTAATCTTCCTGACAATGGACACTGACCACAGAGGCATTTAAAGAGGTAGGGTGTTATAAAACAGTAGAAACCATTCTTGTTTGTTTTGGGGGGTTTTCATTAATCCCAGAGAAACTTTGTAGCCTCAAAATAACAGAACTTGAGAGATGACTCCAGTGCCTATAGATGTCTAAATGTCACTTTGTGTTATGCTGTTGAAATATTTACACTGTTTTCAGTGAAGTAAAACACAGCTCCACACTGTGAGTCACTAGGGGCAAAGCAATGCTGTTTTCATATTAATTTACTTTTAAAGGTCAGGTGAGGCCATAATGTTTAGAAAGTGCCACATTGAAGTCTGCAAAGCCAACTTTCTTTTTTTTTTGCAAAAATGAAGTCTGAAACCTAATATCTGTGTGGAATAGGTGTGAATCAGCTGTGGGATCAGACTTCATGTAGGTTGTACCTTCTGCAGTTGAGTCCCACTGGGTCATACGACGATTAGGATTAGAGCAGATAATGGCCCGCAGCTTATGGACGGGCTAATTGGAATGTACAGACCAAGCAGCAGCACTGAAGGCTTCAGATAGACCTGATAGAGCACGTTTATGTAGGTTTATTCTTCATTTTTATTCACTAATGTTGATTTCTTTCTACTTTATCTTTTATGTTGTTTTTTTTTCTGGTTGTCAATTTTTGCTGTTTTGGTCAATCACTGTTAATTATTCTATAAATTCTGTGTGCACTTCATTCTTCTTGCCTGTACTGATACTGACTGTAACATGATGCTGATGATGAGTGTATTTTAGTTTACTAACTGTTGCATCATTGCATCCCAGCTTCCACTTGGTCACCGATGACACTGACATACACGCCCAGGCAGCACCACAACATACTACAGGCTGGAGCTGCTCTACTATTGGCTCATCAGCATCGGAAGGCCGTGTGTCAGCGTTACCGAACAAAAGACAGAAGGAGAGAGAGACGCTCACAGCGGCAGACGGACGGCAAGCTGGTTCATGGGAGCCGGGCAGGAGGAGACTGGTGATGGTCACTGAAGAGTCGGACGATTTAAAGTGGAGTATTTAACTATATAGGTCTCTGTCGCCTGCTTTTATAATATAGTCAGTGGTGGTTTTTTAAAGCAGGAAGATGCAGCCTGAATGAGGAAACCGCTGCTTCCTCTGCTCCCGCCTCGCTCCCCGCTTCTAGTCTGTCACAGAACTGAGAAACTCGCATCATGGTGGCCGGAGAGCTCGTGCAGGAGCATCTGCGCGCGGATGCCGGCGCACCTGACGACATCACGGTGAAGCCTCACGAGCCGCAGGGAGAAGCCGAGCGGCGCGCGGATCACACACACGGAGCGGCGCCGGCGGGCGGGGCCGAGGAGACGGACACAAGCCGGGAGCAGGAGCAGGAGAAGGACGCGTCGCCGCCGGATGAAAGAGCGGCGATGCTACCCAACGGAGGAGGCGGGGAGGAAGAGGAGGCGGTTGGGAAGAAGCTCGAGACGAAACTGTACCGGCGCCGGTTCGCCGTGCTGACCGTGTTCAGCCTGTACTCGCTGGTGAACGCCTTCCAGTGGATCCAGTACAGCATCATCGCCAATGTGTTCACCGCGTACTACGGGGTGACCAACGACAAGGTGGACTGGCTCTCCATCGTCTACATGGTCGCCTACGTGCCGCTCATCTTCCCCGCCACCTGGCTGCTGGACCGGAAAGGTCTGCGGCTGACGGCCCTGCTGGGCGCCGGCCTCAACTGCGCCGGCGCTTGGCTCAAGTGCGCCAGCGTGAGTCCCAATCTGTTCGGAGTCACCGTCACCGCGCAGGTCATCTGCTCCGTGGCACAAGTGTTCATCCTCGGCCTGCCGTCCCGCATGGCCTCGGTGTGGTTCGGACCCCGGGAGGTTTCCACCGCGTGCGCCACGGCCGTGTTAGGGAACCAGGTGAGTGTGACAGATTACTGATGGGGGTTTACAGTGTGTGTTCAGGTGAGTTAAGGGATGGAGCAGACAGAGTTGAGAATAAAGGGGAAAGAGAGTCATGGAAAGTCATGAATAGGGTTAAAAAATAAAAATGTCCCAATCATAACTACATTCATTTTAATAAGTTTAACCCTTCACTTACCAGTTTGTTTACATGATGGTAATAAAACCAATTCTTTTTCTTTTAATAAATGCTACAATGATTTTTTTTGATGATCACAGTCTAGGATGTGTCAGTGATTAACACCTTCATTCATACTGATTCATTATTATTTTTTATGAAGTGTCACATTGTAAAATAGAAACACTCACATTTAGGACCTTAAAGATAAAAATACCAGCAACAAAATAACTTCCTCTAAAATGTTTTATAGTGTTATTATTTTCCACTTTCACTGAGTTAGACGTTTTAATCCCCATCAGTCCTGATCATGACTACCAACCTGATCCGACAACCCTTTTAATTCAGGTTTGTTTACATGTCGCCACTGTTGTATTCAATGAAAGTAAAACACATAAAAATAAATATTCAGTTTACTAAATTCCAAGAGGATCTTTTTTGGTTAATCACAGTTTGGGATTTGCCAGTTATTAGCACCAGCATTAATACTGATGAGTTACTTTTAATATCATCGTGTGGGGTCAGGTTAGAAAAACATATGCTCAGGTCCTTAAAGACAAAAATGTCTGCTTCAAAAACCTGCTATAGAAGTTTAGTAGAGGTGCCTTAATGGAGCTGAGGTTAAAATGTCCAAATACAACAAAGCAAAATATTTTATAACTGAGTAACACTCAAAGGCGCCATCACTAAGCAATCCAACTACATGTGGTAACAGACAGCATAGCAGCAACAGTAGTAGAGTTACTAAACAATATTTTTCTCCATGTCTTTTCTGTCTAGTTGGGAACAGCCATAGGCTTCCTGTTGCCTCCAGTTTTGGTTCCGAACACACCTGAAGACGTTGAACTGACGGGTCACAATATCAGCATCATGTTCTACGGCACAGCGGCTGTCTCCACGGTGCTCTTCATCCTCACGGTTATAGGTACACACCACAGTTGCACACAGCGCACACTGACACACTGCCTTGCGTCATGGGAAGTAGCGTGCATTGTCTATGAGCTCCCATCTGTTCCATTTTCTGGAGATTTGTGGTTCAGTTACCTCAAACTCGTGTGTTGGGTACAGGCATACCTCTGTACATCAGAACAGAAGTGTGTGTGTGTGTGTGCACCTCTGAGGACCAGATGTCCACTGAAGAATGGAAATACTCCAGTGACCCTTCACACTGGGGACAATATCAGCGACTCAGGCCTTGAGTTCAGGATTTAGATTGGAATAGGATTAGGTTGAGGAAGACCTGGTTAACGGTGACGGTTTTAGGCATACAGGGCTCCAGACTAACTTTTTTACTGGCAGCACTGGTGCGACTATCTTTCTCATTCTCATTCTTGTCACAGGCAAAACACATCATTTGGTGAACATCTGCTTATCGATAGATGCTACAAATTACAGATGTTCCCTAAATGCAACACATTGCAGGCTGGGGTAGCTGCAGTTAGTGGCCATGGTGCTCAGACAGATGTGTGACCGAAAAACACTTTGAAAATAGTTAAACTAGGGCGTTCTAGTGTCAGATTGAGATTAAACCAAATTGTTTTTGTACAACGTGGAGCGCACCTACATGCTCTGTTCGGCTCATAGAAAACAACGTATGCTGGTGTGTTCCACGTTTCATGAGAGGACCGCATCCTTAAGTGTTACTACCACTGTAAGTTGGGGGTAACCACTGTGGTTAACACAGTAGCTGCCTGCGAAGGTTACAGTGACAACAAAACAGCTTCATGATCATCATGCACTCCACGAATGCGACCAGTTGAAACATGCGCTGTTCCCCTCATGGATCTATTGTGTCACATAGAAGGCCTAATTGGCTCACTTACATTTAACGGTTTGTGCTTCTTCTACAGTCATAAAGGACCGACCTCCTCTCCCTCCCAGTCAAGCCCAGGCTGTCTTGCCTGACACCCCTCCTGAAGATTACTCCTACAAACAGTCCATCGTCAACCTGATAAAGAACAAAGCCTTCGTCCTGCTGCTCGTTAGCTATGGCAAGTGTGAAACACCTCTAATGCTTGGACTCATTTGACATTGCTTTTCCTATTTTTTCTGAGTTTTAGTTTGACATCCAGACAGTGACTTTTATGACTCAGACAGACCAACAAATCTCATTTATCAGATTACCATCAGTACAAGCAAAACATGGCAAGGATCAGTCATTAATGGACCCTGACATCTTTCCTAGAAATGGTGTGCAAAAGGAAAATTCCAGTCAATAAATATTCTGAGAACAGCAGTCTGGGATAGAAAAATCTTTTTCTCTGTAAAATTGTTACTAAAACTGTATTACTATTTGCTACAACTGCAATTTTACCATTAAGGTTTTTTTCTCCAGTCTTGTTACTATTAAGATTATTATGACTTCTATTCTCTGTAACACTACAATAGAAATAGCAACTTCTACTGTCACTACTGCTATTATTACCACTACTAGCATTATCCCAGCTTCTAGCACGACTTATAAATCTCTGACAACAGATAATATTATTTACTACAGCATATATTGCCCTCTTGTTTCCATTACTACAGCTGCTGCTATGGTAATTTATACTGCAACTTCCACTATTACTGTACTTAAACTGCTATTTCTGGTAACCCATTGGTCATCAGGACACTTTTTACAACTGTTCCAGTACATACACTCTGGCACTCAAGGTTGGAACTGCAGATTTCATAACCTAGTGTGTTGTTGTGTGTATGGTTCAAGGCCCCTCAGGCCACTCTAACCCAAAGACACCCACACTGGGGCCATGTAAACACAGCACAGCAGTGATAGTGTTCGTCTACACTCCTGTGTGTCCATGGTGACTATCTTCCAGCACACGATGTTTCACATGACTCTTGCACGTGTGGAAGAAGTGACTTTTTTTTTAGTCATTCAGCGTGACACTTCTGTTTTCCCTGCATTTGGCATGCAGGAAAGGATGAGGCAGTTTTTAGTGTCATACCAGTTTGACCTGTATGCATGATGACTCTGACTGTGGAACTTGGCAACAGCCAATCAGAAATACAAACACACTCACAAGAAGTCATGACAATGTCATAAACAAACGTGTAGCAGTTTTACTACATATCTGCTGCTTAATGACATGATTGAAAGATTATGATAACCCCTGCAGTAAATCCATACTTTTTAATGTTACACTCTTATGCTAATACTCGGCTTGCGTGGCTGTGTGTGATTTTTTTTCATTGGATTTAGGTTTGAAAATCCCAGACATATTCATCATGAACAAAGTTAATTACAGTCTCAGTGCATCCACTTAGTGTATAAGACAGAGCTGTTGAACTGTGCACTCAGCTCCCTCTTTGTTTCTGTCCATTTGCAGGTATAATGACTGGTTCCTTCTACTCTGTCTCAACGCTTCTCAACCAGATGATCATGGCCTGCTATGAGGTAAAACACAAACAGCCTTCCGTGGTCTCCCTCTTGTTGTTCTCACCTACAGACGGATGATAAATTAGAGAACCTGAACCCTCGAACCCCTACAGTGAGGGAATCTGCTGGCTCTGTTATGGGGGTAACAGAGCCACATTTCTAGGAGTTGAGGGTTCACTGAATGGTTGGATGAGTATGAGAACTCACCAGATCTCAACCCAATTGAACAAATGTGGGAGATTTTGGACCGACATGTCAGATAGTGCTCTCCACTCTGTCACTCTGCTATACGTTGATGTGCTCACGTACTAACATGCACCTGACAAGCTCAGCGTTGCCTTGTAACACATTCATTTTATTCGCCAAAGTTTAGCTTTTATCCACATACTTTTATAATAATCACATTAAAAGTCACTGATAGATACCCCTGTCTGTTTTGTTACACATAATTTGTGTTCCCTGGTGTATTTGCTGCAGTATTGTAAGCTTTGCATCTTGTACTAAAGAGCATAGTGCGTCACAAAGAAAGGCACTCCGTCCACTGCTGGTCTTTGTGTCGACCCTCATGTGCTACAGGTTATACAGACTGCATGTATGAATCAAACAACGTCCGCATAATGGAAGAATAGAATTCTGACATTGCACATTTTCTCGTTGTGTCATCTCATTATCAAGATTTTGTGTTTAAAATGCAGATAAAACAGATGCACGGTAACTAGATAGAGGGCAAGAGGTGCATAAAGAGACGTATTGAGAGGGACAAGAACAGAGAAACTTGTGATGTCTTTGATGAGAGATGAGTTTATTGTCTGTGGCTCTGAGTTCATTAGCTGCTTTCACGCATGCCTGCTGCCCACCACAACACTGTCAGCACACACACACACATGCAAATATGCACAAGGAGCAACAAGGACTGATTCAATCACTCTAAAACACTCACTGCCTTTCTCACTCTGTCTCTCTCAGATGCTGTCCACACACTGAGTGACACAAAGGCTGATGCTCATTCAGCTTCTGCTTATCTTTGCAACACACACACTGAGAGATCCTCACCCTTTCATGAACTTGTTAAACTCTTTGTCTTTTAGCTGAACTGTCAGATGACTTAACAGCCCTCCCACCAGAAACACTGTAAATTCCAGACTCGCCCCCTCCCCACCTTACAGCCCTTGTTCATGATGTACTTAAAGAACATGTGACTGGCTTATAGTCCACCTGTAAGGAGAAGCTTAAAGGCACACAAACACCCTTTAGTCAGCTGTTTCTTTTCACTGTGGTGGTTCTGACAGTAACCCCTCTCCTCCCCTCCTCTCCCCTCAGAACCAGGAGCTGAATGCCGGGAGAATTGGTTTGACTCTCGTCGTCGCTGGGATGGTCGGCTCCATCCTCTGTGGTCTGTGGCTGGACCACACAAAGACATACAAGTAGGCAAAACATGCACACATCATTATACGTTACATTAGTATTACAAATCCTGACCACGCAGTAATATCTTCTATGAACAATCGAGAAAAACAGTTATTGGCCTCGAAAAATCTGAATAACTGTTAATACACTGCCATGTGTATATGGACACCCAAGTATTACATTAAAATGAAGATTTTGGACCCTGGCTGCAGGAATTTGCTGGTGATAAGGTCTGTCTCATGGTGTTTG